CTGTGGGTGTTGACAGCCTGTTGTCTTCCTTCTAGTCAGCACCTCAGTATTGGTAACAGATGCAGATAGCTCTAGTAGCTTTGCAATACCAAAGTAGGGATTAAGAGTATAATGAAATACAGCATATTGTTATATTTTGTAAAACAATACAGTACATGATGCATATCATTTGTATTACAATGGAACAGTAAATATGCAAAACTACATTTGAATTTTTAATCTTCAACAGTTATTCACCTGTAAACCATGAAACAAAAGGCTTACTTCCATGATCTTGTGGTTGTATGTGTAATACACAATGATGAGCAGCGAACATTCAAGGTGAAAAGCAAAAGCCTGATATACAGACCCATTCAATGATTTATAGATCAGCTGTTGGAAACATTTTGAGTTTCTTGTCACCACAGTAAATGGCTCAACAAAAATAGCAATGTGCAAAGCAAATTTCAAATATAGGGCAGGGAATACAATGAATAATGTGCCTATATCGTTTGGAAGTTGATTGACAGGAGGATTACATAAAACTGGCAAAAGAAAACTGTCATACTTTGTGTTTACTTACATATAAATTAACATTAGTTACTGTTGGGGGTAGGGGGTCAGAAGAGTTATAACTGCTTTAAATGGAAGTAAATGGTATATTCTGTATTAATATATAAATGAGCTGCAGTTAAAATGCCATATTCTATATCGATATATGAATGTGCTCAAGTTAAAATGTCATATCCTGTATCGATATAAAATTTGCTGTAGTGAAAATGGCTTATCATGTATCGATATAAAATGTGCTGTAGTGAAAATGGCATATCATCTATTGATATATAAATGTGCTGTAGTGAAAATGGCATATCATCTATTGATATATAAATGTGCTGTAGTGAAAATGGCATATCATCTATTGATATATATAAATGTGCTGTAGTGAAAATGGCATATCATGTATTGATATATAAATGTGCTGTAGTGAAAATCTTGTATTCTGTATGGATATATAAATGTGCTGTAGTGAAAATGGCATATTCTGTATCGATATATAAATGTGCTGTAGTGAAAATGTCGTATTCTGTATGGATATATAAATGTGCTATAGTGAAAATGTTATATTCTGTATCGATATATAAATGTGCTGTGGTGAAAATGTTGTATTCTGTATCGATATATAAATGTGCTGTAGTGAAAATCTCGTATTCTGTATTGATATATAAATGTGCTGTAGTGAAAATGTATTCTGTATGGATATATAAATGTGCTGTACTGAAAATGTTATATTCTGTATCGATATATAAATGTGCTGTAGTGAAAATGGCATATCATCTATTGATATATAAATGTGCTGTAGTAAAAATGTCATATTCTGTATGGATATATAAATGTGCTGTAGT